GTGTACGTTGGTGTGTGTGTACGTTAGTACGTGTGTGCGTTAGTGCGTGTGTACGTTAGTACGTGTGTGCGTTAGTGCGTGTGTACCTTAGTATGTGTGTGCGTTAGTGCGTGTGTACGTTAGTGTGTGTGTACGTTAGTACGTGTGTGCGTTAGTGCGTGTGTACGTTGGTGTGTGTGTACGTTAGTGCGTTAGTGTGTGTGTGCGTTAGTGCGTGTGTACGTTGGTGCATGTGTGCGGGGATGGGTGTGTGCGTTAGTGTGTGTGTGCGTTAGTGCGTGTGTACGTTAGTACGTGTGTGCGTTAGTGCGTGTGTGCGTTAGTATGTGTGTGCGTTAGTGCGTGTGTACGTTGGTGCATGTGTATGTTGGTACGAGCGTAGGTTGGTGCATGTGTGCGTGGGTAGGTGACGTGTGTACATTAGTACGCGTGTACGTTGGTACGAGCGTACGTTGGTGCATGTGTGCGTGGGTAGGTGTGTACATTAGTACGTGTGTACGTTGGTGCGCGTGTACGTTTGTGCATGCGTGCGGGGATGGGACTGTACATTAGTACGTGTGTACTTAGGTGGTATATATGTTATTTATATGTATTTTAGATGGGTTTTTGTTTTGTACTGTAAATTGTGCACATTACCTCGGATCTTTCCCGGGCTAGTTGAAGTTATAGTTTGAGTGACAATTTGCTTGCTCATATTCCTTGTTTCTCCAAGTAGGTTTATTCAAAGTTTTCTAAAAAAAAACGCTTCTAGTAAGGAGGTAGCGAGGTAAATAGGTAACGAGGTACAAATATTCGACAGGAGTGTTTTCAAAGTGCATGCAGTAACTAATCATTCAGCTTAAGATTCCTCTGGTACTAATAAGTCAAAGTCAATGTCTTGTTCAATCGACATCATCCGTTGTAGGAAAATGTAATTTTCCAAATCCCACGGACATCCTTACGCTAATGCTATTTGATTGACTGAGGGCAGCGAATAAAACATTTCTGTGTGTATATACAATTATCCCGGTTGATAGATGGATGGGCGGGTGCATGTGCATAATCTTCATGACGAAATTGAAACATTTTAGGATCGCATAATTGTTTAGTCGTTAGAGATATAAATAACATATACACGAAAAATAACCTGCCAATATTTTCCTACTAAACAAATCAACTATGATACTGAATATCTGCATCACTATAAAACTAAACAGGAAATTCTCCATAATAATCTACTCTGTCAATATTATTTTTAACAACAAATGGAGAGTAGATTTGATATAGAACTGCTTTGATATTTGAGAATAATAGCATGCGACCCCCCCTGTCTATGACGTCATTCATTGTGGCAGCCATGAAAACTCTAGTATTCTGACGCAGAGCCAGCGAAAGGATCCGAACTTGTCAGAACTCTCATTCTACTGTTCACCCATTGCTGGCAACAGTCGTAATATCCCTAGAAAATAGCAGCTATCGATTCGAGGGGGATTCTCTGTCGCTAAACCCAGCGCAGACGCGCCAGCACACACGTCACCAGCGCGGGATTTAACTTCGGCGAAGAAAGCGGCGTGGTAGTGGATTCACGCCTATAGGCAATATAGAGACCTTAATTCGCGCTTTCCGCACCAACTCACGTTTCCTCACCCTGGGTGTATTATTTCCTTTCTGTGTATACCGTTTTCTCTCTTTGTATTCGATTTTCTTTCTGTGTATTCTGTTTTCTCCTTGTGCATTCCTTTTTCTCTCTGTGTGTTGCTTTTTCTCTCTGTGTATTTCTTTTTTTCTCGGTGTGTTCCGTAGATCGGTTACTGGAACTCGGTCGGGAATCTGACGGTGACAAAGACGAAGAAGGACCGTACGGAGGACACCCTGGCGTTCCTCAACGGAACTACGCTCAAGGTCACCTCCATCGAGGTAACGGTCCCGCACGCATGCGCGTGTGACGTCACGCCAGCGTGAGATCACGTGCGCGATTAGCTCCCCCCCCCCCGTGTAGCTCTTCGTTCCTTCACTCTCTCGCTTTCATTCTTTTTTCTTCTTTTTTTACCCTCTCTGTCTCTCTTTCTCTCTCTCTGTCTCTCTCTATTTCTCTCTCTTTCCCTCTCTCTGTCTCTCTCTCTCTCTCTCTCTCTCTCTCTTCCCGCGCTATAGAGAAACATATCGGCAGTCT